CAGTACCGGTACTGCAACTAAACAATTTCACACTAATTTTATGCCTATTTGTGACCTCAAATGTGTAAATAGCTGGTCCACAATGGGTATCTGTGTAAGGACAGTGTGTTCATGAAAACAAAAACATCTTAGTTTTGCCTATATTTTATCTGAGCATTCGCCATAAACAAAGAATAAACCTTAACTATCAAGTTTATTAATGTTTTTTTTGTTATTGAATGAGTTCAGAAGAGCATATAAATTGGTCGAATTGTTCAGGTACAGGTTCAGGTCCGGACCTGTACCTAAACCTGTGTACCTGTACCTGTACCTAAAATTTGTTTAGGTACACAGCTCTAAGTAGTAGTAGTGGTGGTGAACCGATTGCTAGCTTGTAAAGGTGACATCTCTTGTCTTTTATAGTCTTCTGATTGCCATTCTAACCACCCTGGCTTATCTTTGTAAATAAATAACCAACTTTTATCATTAGCTTTTGTAAAACTGACATAGGCTAGTATAAATGCGTTGAACATGTTTTGTGCAGATTTGTATAACGTATTTGTTTAGATGTAGTCTTGAATAAAAAGTTTTAAAATTCCAACTACCTCGACTTATCTCTTTAAGACCACGCTGATCAAATTTTGCATTGATTTTCGCCTGTTCTAAAAAAACTCCTTCGGGACTCTGGCTTGGATGCCTAGCCTCTACCAGGCTTGGGGAGGCGGCTGGAAAGAGTAGAACTCGGCCAAATAGAGAGATAAGCATGCCAAGGGAGTTTGTCCGTTGAGAGAACATTTCGGACAAACTCTCTTGGCATGCTTATCTCTCTATTTGGCCGATTTCTACTCTTTCCAGCCGCCTCCCCAAGCCTGGTAGAGGCTACTGGGTGCCATCCTTCGTAGTCCATGGTAGCTAGCGCTAGCGGCAGTAGGGAGTCCGCGGTGCAATTTTCCGTCTCGTAAACGGTCGATGCCATTTGAAACGGTCGATGCCATTTGAAACTGTCGATGCCATTTCGCTGAATGGTCGATGCCATATCCGAGCGTACCATAATTTTTGAGGTAAAAAACGAATAAAAAGCAATATATACTATACAAGACAATATTCTAATTGAAATATAAGGAGGGTCATGTAGAATTTGTAAATATTAGTGAAAAAAGCACAAGGTCGGATTCGAACCCAGGTCCAAAAGTGTAGCTCTAAAACTCTAACCTAACCTCTACGCCACGAAACTTCACAGCCATATTGGCGAGAGCTGCGTGACCAGTCGACATATACATGTCAAATTTGCCATCTGATAATGAAAATTAAACTGTTCTCCAACTCAAGAAAAATGACTCACCAGGAATTTTCGACCGAATCACTCGGTCTTCCGTTCATCAGCTTTCTGACCAGAGTGTTGTAGACACGACACCAGCTAGCCTGGGTGCCATCCGATTTGTAACGGCAACCCCGAAAAAGTGATGATTTTTTCGGGGTTGCCGTTACAAATCGGATGGCACCCAGGCTAGACACCAGCAGCACTCGGGTCAGAAAGCTGATGAACAGAAAACCGAGTTAGCATGAAAGTTCATCTGTGTTGGTACAAATCATTATGAAATAAAGACTGAGCTTTGACTTCCAACACTAGATACAGAATTGGGACTTTTTTTTCGGTTGACTCCATCAACCTTGTTCACGGAATGGACCCGTCTACTCTTGGAACGTGACGTCAGAGACACGTGACCGTAGTAGCGGGTCATACGTGCCAGATAACTTGTGTCGCCCCCCGTCTCTGTTCAGGGTAGGTCTGTGAGAAGACCGAGTGATTCGGTCGAAAATTCCTGGTGAGTCATTCTTCTTGAGATGGATTATGTATTTTACCAACTCAAATGAACTTTAAATCTTTATTCATTTATTTATTTTTCGTCATTTTTATACAGGGTGACCCATTAAGTGATTGCACTTCTTTTCAATGGGGCCTTGTTTTACACAACAAAACACAACAGTCACATACAAACAGTAAATTGGGATACAATAAATAATGATAATGGCAATAATAATAATAATAATAAAGAAAAATATGCTTGCCATCTGATATTTGACAGACCTTGGCTGGATGACCACCACTCTGGCCATGACCGGAAAGTTCTGTATCACCGCCTCTTTCGCAGTTATCTACATCTTCTCGGCTGAGATATTTCCTACTGTAGTAAGGTAAGATCAGATATATATTTTTTAAAGGCCATGTTGATTTGATTATATGGATGACATCCTCCGGGAACCCCAAAATTGATGCGCGCGTGCGAATAAAAAAAGTTTTGCAAAAAAAAAGTTGTTTTCATTATGAAATCTACGTGGTCATGAGGGTTGAACAAATAGGACGGAATATGGTTTGGCGAATAATCTAGTCTTCAAGTTCATTTCTTTACATTTTCGTCTTTTTTCGTTTGATTTTGGCATTCTACTACATTGGTATGGTTGAAAACTTCTTTTTTTTAAACGGCCGAAAAGTCATGCGCGCGCGGATGTCATCCATATAATCAAATCAACATGGCCTAATGTGCTATAGTGAGCAATACCCTCTGATTGTACATACACATGGTAAGAATACAGTTTAGTGGGCAATCAATGGTTACATATACAACTAAGACCTAGGTCCGTGAACAGTTTCATCAGGTTGATAAGTCACTGAGTAAAGAGACTCTTTTTACACAACCAAGTGTTTTATTCACAGCCGACGTTTCGGTGACCGTCTGTCACCTTCCTCAGGGCAATTCTGACTGGTTCACATTGCACTACAGCACAGGTGTCGCTGCTATAGATGCATTCCCAAACGTACAATATATATGTAAATACTTGGTCGTGTAAAAAGAGTCTCTTTACTCAGTGACTTACCAACCTGATGAAACTATTCACGGATGTGGTAAGGTATGATCAGACGCGTTATTATACGACTAAAATCTAGCCTCCTGTTTACAATTTCGCTTGGGGGAGGCCCGTGAAAAAAATACTAAGGTTTCAGGCCTCCCCTGGCATATTTGTCCATTTTTTTATAATTATGATTTGTATTTCGTTGTATATGTGCAAAAATAAATAAACAAACATTCCCACAGGCAAATCGGAATCGGCATGTCCTCCATGAACGCTCGTGTCGGCGGCATGGTCGCCCCGTTCGTGAATTTACTGGGCCGTCATTGGGCGCCGATGCCTTACGTCATCTTCGGGGGCGCGTCGATCGCCGCCGGACTGCTGGCGCTGCTGCTTCCGGAAACCAAGGGGAAGGCACTTCCGGAAACCATCGAGGAGGCAGAGAACATCGGGAAGAAAGACGCCATTGTGGAAGAGGAGTGATTTCATCGAAGAAGTGAAGCTAAGACAGACTAGCTAGCGCTTGAAGGTAGGCCGGCACTGTCTGTCAAGAACTGTAACAGTTACGCAAGAAAACATTGTAACAGTCTGTTACAGTGTTTCCTTGCGTACTAACAGTCATACACAAGAAAACACAGAGACAGTTACACAAGGAAAAACTGTAACAGTTAGTGAGTTACACGGGAAAACAATGGAACAGTTTCACTAGAAAACACTGGAACAGTTACACAAGAAAACACTGTAACAGTCTTACACAAGAAAACACTGGAACAGTTACACAAGAAAACAGTTAAGCAAAAAAAAAAGCAGTTACTCAAGCAACTGGATATGATTTTTGAATCCCAGTCCAAAACCATATCCAGTTGCTTGAGTAACTGTTTTTTTGCGTATCTTATTACCTGGATGTCTAACCTTCATCGACGTGAGAAAACAGTTACTCAAGCAATTGGATAGATTTTGAAAAATACTTTTTAGATCTGTATAGATGAATAGGTATTCGTTCCAGAACAATTAATATGTAAATGATGTAAACACGAATTTAGACAGTCCAGTTGCTTGAGAAACTATTTTCTTGAATGTGTATCTCATTACCTGGATGTCTAACCTTCATCAATGTAATTGTAACAGTTGTGAATTTTAGTGCTTATACTTGTGTCACAAATTTCTAAACTGATCTTGACGTTCAGATTTTTGTTGTGGACATTGTAACAATTACATCACGTACGTGAATAGTTTTATCGGGTTGGTAAGACACTGAGTAAAGAGACTCTTTTTACACAACCAAGTCTTTTATTCAGCCGACATTTCGGTGACCGTCTGTCACCTTTCTCAGTCTGACTGGTTCACATTGCACTGCAGCACAGGTGTCGCTGCTATAGATGCATTCCCAAATGTACAATATTTACATATCTACAGATATGCGTGATTGTGCATTTGGGAATGCATCTATAAGCAGCGACACCTGTGCTGCAGTGCAATGTGAACAAGTCAGAATTGCCCCGAGGAAGGTGACAGACGGTCACCGAAACGTCGGCTGAATAAAAGACTTGGTTGTGCAAAAAGAGTCTCTTTACTCAATTATATCACGTATATTTTGAATCATGTAGATTTACTCGTCACATTGCTGTTAATGTGATATCTTAAATTGTCTTGATTAAATTGTCAGCAGTCGTTGCAAACACTATGCATCATATATACTTTCGGAGGTTTTGAAGAAAGATGTCCTATTTTTTTTATCATTACTACAAGAACGGTTGCTTTTGCAAGCAATGTCATCTAAATGTAAAACAAAAGTATACTTCAGTTCATAGGTGTAGCCAAATCCGCACAGGTGAAGGTATGACTATATGACAACTATAATTTTACGTGCTAGATGAATTAGAAACAAAGGAAAAACATAGGCGATTTCTATTGTAGGTTTTAATATGTACTTTAACAGATAGATACAATATACACAAGAATAATACAATCTAAACAATACAACAATCTAGTTATCCTCTTTAGATAGAAAATATGTGAAACGGTGAAAAAAACATTGGTGTCTATTTTAGAAAAGATAAAATTGTCATTACTTCCTCATTTATTTTGCTTTTGTTGTTTTTAGTCTCGTGTGAATAAGGTCACGTGTTTGTAAACCGTAACTCTCGCGAGATCACGTTGTGAAGTGATTGGTCATTAATTATCCTGATGAAGGCGACAGTGGTCGCTGAAAATTTGATCTTTGTAAACTGTGTGTTGGAATAAAGTTTAACGTTTTGCTACAATATTCATGTTGTTTAGGAACTATCAAGTTGAAAGTTCAAAGACAATTGCATAAGAAACGTACTTATACGTACACATAGACAAAGTCTGTGTGTTAGCACCATAGAGACATTGGCGATGTCTAAACTTATATAACATAAGTTATCAAACTTTTGAACATTGCCATAACACAATTACAAGACCGGCCAAGTTGATTCGACTACGTGGTCATGAAGGTTGAAAAAAATGACACAGAGTATGGCATGGTGAAAAATCTACTCTTCAAATTCATTTCTTTACAGTTTCGTCTTTTTCATTTGATTTTGGCATTCTTCGACATTTATCGTTTTCCAATATTTTTTTGTAACTTACGGTATATTTTTGCTCATTCTACAACTGTTTTGTACGATTTACAGTATGTTGAAAACTTTTTTTTTTTGGAAACGGCCGAAAATTCATGCGCGCGCATGTCATCCATATAATCAAATCAACATGGCCTAACTGAATAGTTGATGCCATATCTGAGCGTATCATAACTTTTTAGGGACACAAACATTTAAAACATATAAAAATCAACATTTCAATTGCAAATACTTAAAGTTTGCCGTTCTGGGATATGAAATCGACCGTTTCAAATGGCAACTAGCGTCCATCGCAGACTTCTGAGGCGGCGGCGTTGATTTTTTTAGTTGATTTTGAGCGACGCGAGTTACTAGCATACCGCGGAGAGACGGTTTTGTCGCCGAGGGACTTTGCCGGAAGAGACGGTTTCGCGGCATAACTTGCGTCGCTCCCCGAAAAAATTTATCGCCACCGCCTCAGAAGTCTCCGAAGGACGCTAACGGCAACGACAATTTACTAGCGGAAAAAATTATCGCGGCCGCCGGGCGATGTCTGTCCTTGGTGCTGAAATGGGAGTCAGGTGCAAGCCAAAGAACGTCGCGGCATTTTCACTCGATGTTTCTATCCTTTATGACGGCTGACTCATTACTTTCAGCAGAGCCTGTATAAAAGAAAAATCAACTTGCATTTGCATTGCATTTTACACAATTTACACAATATTAGATGTTATTATGAAAGTTCATCTGTTTTGTTAATTACATTTAAGTTAAAACGTTTGGTCCAACACAAAAATTCTCTCACCTAGAGCTTTCGACCAGTTAGTCTGGTCGTCCTCAGTAGACTGACCCAGTGAAGCTTGTCACGTGGCTTCTTTGAAGTGTGACGTCAACACTGGGTCAAAGGTATCTGGTAGACGATGTCGGCCCCCGTCGCGGTCAGTCTACTTCACTGGGTCAGTCTACTGAGGAAGACCAGAGTGACTGGTCGAAAGCTCTAGGTGAGAGAACTTTTTGATTTGGACTAAAAGTTTTAACTCTAAACAAATACTAGATGTTAGTGTCTCAAAGACACCCAAAGCTATTTCAGGGCAGTAAAACTTGATTTTCAACAAGATGCAAGTCTTGCATGCTCACCTGGGTTTTTCTCTTGACGGGAAGAAGCGACTTTCTGAGGTGATGTCTGAGTCTGAAGGGTTCTTGAGACGTTGTGTTGGTGAGGGACTGTAGGGAGGAGAGCAGGCGGTTTGCCGCGGCCACCAGGGTGCGTTCTGTCGGCGTGTTGTGCTGCAGGTAGCCGCCCAAACTCTGGGACAGGTCCGCTACGGTCTGCAGTCTGTGCCATAGTAGCAGTCTGTAGAGAATAACGGTGTTTTTAAAGCTATTACGACATTTAATGTCAAAACAAGATGGCGGCATACTCAAGCTCATGGCTTATGTTCGTGTCGTCATCGAACAAAGAAGATTACAAAAGTGGATCAAAACAAATATAGACATGCAAATCATAAGGATAATTAAGTAAAATAAGGTTATAACGCATAATAACTGTGATCATATGAAATATAAGAATATGATAAAGAAGCGTTGTATGCAGGTAAATTGCAACTAGATACTCCACGCCAGACCGGTAGGTAAATCAGTAACTCGAATCTTTTGGTTTCTTTTATAATCAATTGAACACATTGTAAATGTTTGTGTTATTTGAATATCGGCGTTAGGTATTGAATCTATATTTCTGTTCTTTCGTATTTTCTTTGACTTTGGAAGCCTTCGCTTAGGGCTAGCTTCGAAATACGTTTTTCAAACTGATATAATCTACATGATATAAAAAGGCAATGCACGACAGTAGCATCCGTTTTACGATATTGTTTTGCTATTTTTTGGCATATATTTGTTCTCAGCTTTTTGTAGGGTTAACAATATGATGGAAAACGTTTTAGGAAACGGACTAATCCATTTAATATTAATCGGGCCAGCGTGAACGTACCTGTCTTCCTCTGGTGTGGATTGACTGACGTCCCGCCTGAATCTGTGTAAATGGACAGAAAATTAAAAATAGACGGTGATTTTTACTGCACTGTTTTGTGTTTGTTTTTTAGTCATTCGTTCATTGACACAAAGCCATATCTCAGTATGTGTATAGCTAGTATAACCGCCCTTCGTTATAATTAGAACATACCATCTTCTGTATCTGTCGATGAAGGTTAGACATCCAGGTAATACGATATGCCGATATGCCATCTTCTGTATCTATATAGCCGGTATAACCGCCATCAGGCGTAATACACCAGCATTGCAAGCAGCAGCTGGTTATATTACACCGATAGTCCTACCTTTTGCACATTTTCAAACCAAATACTTTTTAAAAAGGCAACTTTAAAGGCATCCAATGCAGTTTCTGAATAGGGCAATCTGTATGATATTGACAAATACTTTCCTACATTAGCACATTTGAATCAGTATTTCATACATTAGGCAGAAACAAGCCCCAAGATCAGTCCTTTATTTTCTGGGTGGTACCCTAAAAATCAACCCAGGTCCTTCCAGTAACCGTTTTTCGTCAGAATTTTGGGCATTTTTGCTCCATGAATGTCAATATACATTGGGACAGTGTTTTTTCAACTCAGAATGTAGATAAATGACTAGAATATTGACTTTGAAAAATCTGGTTTCCAAGCCCTAAAAACTGCAATGGATGCCTTTTAGAAAGGCAACCTTAAGACGAACATCCACCATCTTACCTTCCATGTAGCAGCGGCAGACGGGTCCGTACCGCGCACGGGCACCTGTTACAGTATCCCTGGCGGAGGATGTCCGGGTTCCCGTACCGAACAGACGCGTCACACCGGTAACAAAACTCACCCATGTAGATCAGGTGGCAACGCTGGGGAAGACATCAATTTTTTTATATTCCATAACATTTCATGACTAGACATAGTGACGGCACACTCAAGTTATATCAACTTTATATAATATTTTATGCCGCCGCCAAAAACACTTTATGCCGTTGTACGTCCAACGCAAACAGCTAGGGGGCCCAAATGTACACCACTAAATCCTTACATCAACAGCTACATGCTACCCTAACATCACATCCACAAACCATCCAACGCCAACAATATTTTGAAAAATCCACACTGCAGTACCAAGGTTAATCACCAGGGGCCCAAAATGGACCAACAGAGTCCACTCTACCCCACCTACCCACCTGACAAATATCATCGCATCCCGTCTGACGGATCTTGAGATATACACCAAACCATCATCCAGAATGACAACAATACACACCATTTCGAGCATTGTTATAAAACGAACAATTTGAGATAAAGTGTATTTCGTCTTCTACAACCTTTGCATTGCAATATTTACAAATTCTGTCACATACAGGAACCCTTCTACATCGGCCTCTCTCTATTTCCAGAGGATGGGCACTAACTCTAATTTTACTAATAGCGGAGCGTAGTTCGAAATCTGCTTGATCTCGATATTGCTCTATATTGTATATGGTTTTACATTTTGCATAAAATCTTAACTTACCAGTATCTATTGACAAATTATGAAAAGACGATCATGAATACAGATAAACTCTCAAGATATAAGACCTGTAGTCTGGTAGGCGGCTGGCAGGCGTCAGAAGTCGTCTGTGTGGCGTCACCAACAAACCCGCTCTTACACTGCTCACAGTCCCTCCCCTCCGTACCGTGCTGGCAGTTCTGAAACACAGCACAGGTGGCGCTTTTGAAACACCATAACAGAGCTTCCGAAAATAGTTTAATCAGGTTAGTAAAGTATAGGATACAGGAGTTCTCATTTACATAAGCAATAATCTCACCTAGAGTACTAGTGCTGACGTTTCCGTGATATCTTGATATCTTGTATTTCTTACACTGTGTTTCATTTGTTTTACTACATCTATTTTTACCTGTATATGTATTTGTGAAGTTTACATGAACGATATGGAAGACGATCATGAATAAAATTTGCTTACCAGACAACGTCCACTGAACGGATCTCTCTCAGAAGAGTGACCATAACAGGCTATTTCTGCAATAAACATAGAAGAATGCGTCAGAACATAAGAACTATTAATATCATTATACTTAATATACTTATTTTACTTGATACTTACATTACTATATACGTATATTTATGTTTACGGATGTTTTTGGTCTGTTTCCTCTTCTTCTTCTCCACACCAATAAGGTCAATGACCTGAGCCAAACGTCTGTCACCATGGTAACAAGTGTTGGGTTACACCATGTTGCAATTTTATAGCAGGAGGGATTTAGACTCCAGGCACCATATATATATATATATGAATGTGTTTGAGTAAGTATTAACAGAGCAGACCATATGCGAAGGTAAACATTATGCATTTGCTTTGCAAACGTTACCTTTCTAGATATAACATATTACTTTTTTCTTGTAGTATCTTCAAATCTGATTTACACCCTGATTGTGTAGGATAAGTGTTGATATGTTCTGCCTTTAAGTAGAAACAGGTGTTTTCTTTGATAACGAGCTCAAGACGTATCCAACACGTACTAGATACCATCACAATCCAACCATGGCTTCCTATGCTGGAAACTTAGTAAGGCCACAGCAAGTACATTTTATGGATGGCATCCTCTGAAGACTCCAAACTAGTGCGCGAGGGCGAATAAAAAAATCCGGCCAAAAATGAAAATGCTACTAAACCACAGGAATACAAAGTTGGTATTGTGAATTTAGCACTTAGCGACGTATAAGACAAGCCGGCACATGCTGGCTTTTTACGGAATTTACAAATCGACACTGTACGTATGTACTGAGTTCTTGAGTCGCGGAGCTTCGGTAGCCTGGGTGCCCGGCTCCGTATTGTCGCTAACAACCATAGACTACCCAGGCCTAGAGCCAGGCCAGAGTCTCGGAGGACGTGATCTTTTTTTTTGTGTGTGTGAACAGGCGAAAACAATGCGTGCGCGGATGTCATCCAAAAAATTAAGCCGGTGTGGCCTAAATAAAGTAGGTCGGACACAAAGAGAGAGAGAAAGAAAGAGAGAGAGAGCAAAAGTTATACCTCTTTCACTCTGTTATCAAACCTATCATGTAACACGGGGTCACACTTTATCTGAATCAAACCTCCTGACAAATTAAACATCTAAGACACGGGAGCTTAAGAACCCACCGACAGTTGTACTCCTTACAGAGATAAGTCGTCTTAACTCTCATGATCTGGTTTTACTTAAGGACATGTACCGGAGGTGATCGGGCGGAAATAGGGGAGACCGGCCGGAGGCGAGATACCGATACCGAGATACCGATAAAGTGCAGTGGATAATCAGCTAAGAAACGTTAGGTTATCTGATCTTATCTGTGAGAAGCGAAGAAAAAGTTATCGGTATGAAGTTGTCTTAAGAAGCGAGAAGAAGTGAAACCTGTACATAGCCTGTACCAGCATACAATAGCCCTGTAGATTTCAGCTGCCGCCGCGCCGCGTGCCTGCGAAACTAGTGTGTTACGCCGAAGGGCATTTATACCGACTATTCAGATGCATATATAGATACTAACCTTTGAACATCTAGCTCTAAACATTGTTTAAAGCTATCTATGATAATGCCCCTGACAGTGAGTTCTTGAACACCCCAATCCTTGGTTGATAACTCTGGTACTTGAAGGCATGGCTATTTCTTGTTCTTTTCTGGGCTGGTATTAGGGACTTAGTAGTTGGGACGTCCACCAGTTTATTAGTAAAGTAATTTTGTACATCATGCATAATCTGGACATGTTTCGTGACTTCCAGTGACACACACTGTTTAAAATGACAACAAGCTGGTAGGGGGACCAAACCCACACCACTTATTCCTGACAGGAAAAACTATCTGTCACCAAAAAGTCAAGACCATAACATGTTCAGGACAAAAGATACAAAAACCGGAAGTTCTGCTGCAGTACCAAGGTCATCCACCAGGAGACCCATATTTGACATTGACCTTTGCCTTCCTAGTACCTATCAACATACCAAATATCATCACAATCCGTTAAGGCTTTCTGAAGTTATGTTGGCTACAAATGTGCGGAAACACACACACGCACACCCCCCAAAAACAATACCTCCATTTCATGGAGGTAACAACCGTTTACGACACGGAAACGTAGTCTCCAAGCAGAGGTTTGGGTTTACGTTTGGGCTAATTTTGTTGGCGTGTTTTAGGCTTTTTTATCGGGGTTTCTTTTTTTGTACTGGAATCATAGTTTTTTTAGGCCAACCTCTAAAAAAATTCCAGTGCAAAAAAGAATTCCAGTGTAAAAAAAAGATAAAAAAAGCCTAAAGCACGCCAAAAATAAGCCCAAAACCCAAACCTCTGCTTGGAGAGTACGTTTCCGTGTCGTAAACGGTTGTTGTCATTTGAATCGGTCCGCAGCTTGAGTTGTGATTCCGTGAGAATAGGTAGTCTTGTATTCCCTCGTACTTCTCAACTTTACAAGGCCAGAGTCACCGTAATCAAAATCACATGGTGGCTTGGTGGGGGACCAAACTAGCAGGGTTTAAAAGCTATAAAACGCCTGATTCGATTTGTACGCAACTAGTAGATTTGGGGCTTGGGGTGTTTCAGAACCGAGCCGTTATATGTACATGTGGCCTAGAGCTAGTGTGGTGTAGTGTCTACCGATTCCGTTTCTGGAGAATAAGGTCACGGGTCTGATTCCGTTTTGTTGGGCTCTAAACCACTATGCACGCTACTGAGGGGATGCATCTGTGAGAAAAAGTGTGGGAAGGTCAAACACACAACACTACCAGCAGGCTAGCCCCCTGCTGTAGTGCTTGCACAACTGTGTGGCCCAAGGGCTACAGAAATGGAGATTGGCACCACCCCTATGCTCAACAAGGAGTGGAAAGGGACCTTTCTCTAGCCTCCGTAGCAGGCTTATAGAACTGGGGGTTTGGTGGTCTTCGGCTGTTTTCTGATTCGACCAGTTCTAAAATAACGGGGGTAATTCAACCAGGCTATATGTTGTCTATATGGAATCAGAAAATAGCACATAAAAGCTCCCAAAGACCCTGAAGACCCCCAAAACCCCCAGTTTTTGGCATGCTATGGAGGCTAACCTTCCTCCTTCTTCCTCCAGACGTCAGGTGACTGAAAACATGTAGAAATTGGCGAAACAGGGAGAGGAATTTGCCAGAGGAGTCGGACCGCTAGGGGAGCGCCCAAATTGGCTCGCAAAGGGCGAATCGAACTCCCGTGGCCGGTTAAATTCCCTGGCAAATCGCCGTTTGGCCCAATTTGTACCATTTTCCCCAGCCTGACAAAACGTTTGGTGCGGGAGGAATAGTACTTCAGTTTCATAGGCCGAGAGTTTGTATAAATACAGGCTACATAAGATCAAGAACACGACAAATTACTAAACAGATGACTCATCTTCCATAACAATATCTTTCATTTACTGCATATCATTTATTTTATAACATATCGCAGTAGGTGCAAACTATAAGTCACAATATTCCAACAGATACTCGCAAACGACTGCACAAAAACCACCCAATATCTGCTTACAGGCAATATAAAGTTGCAGGAAAAGATGCACAAGGTAATGAAGAGAAAAATGGTGTTTATAAATAATGCAACTGGCTGAGTGCTTAGTTCGAATGATCACAGGTGACCTGAAAAATAGTCGAGGTTTTGTTGTAAATATTGTAATGCAAAGGCTGTGGAAGACGAAATACACTTTATCTCAAACTGTTCCTTTCATAGCAACTCTCGAAATGAGTTGACTATTCAAACATCTACAATTTATTCAAATTCCCCAAAACTTACAGACAAACAAAAAACTATTCTTCTTTTAACTTCCCAAAACCCACAAATTTTAGAAAATGTGGGACATTACGTCTTCTATGGTTTACAAAAGAGACGTCAAACCCTTCAGACATAGTGTTAGACATAGCAATAGTTTTAGACAATTAGATTTCATCATGTACATTTCGAAGTTATTCTATACTCTGTTTCAATGTTCTTTTATGTTTGTAACTTGAAATTAACCTTCGGGCATGGATTTGCAATAAACTTCTCGCTAAAAAGTCTGGCGCGGTGAGGAATATAGTACTTCAGTTTCATCGGTTTTACACTGCAGTTTGTGAATCTATATTTTAGAAAAAATGTTTTGATTTTTGAGAGGGCAAATCCTAACTTAAATGGCAACTGTTACAACAGTATGAACAGGTGGAACAGGTTCAGTGCTTTTGGGTACATTGGGTGGGGTCGTGGGGTCGTGTAGCTTAGCGGTAACGTCTTCGGCTCGGAACCAAGAGGTCCCGGGTTCGAACCCCACCTTGTCACCGATCTTCTGCCCTTGGGAAAGGCACTTTCCTCACACGACTTCCCTCACTTCACTCAGGTGTAAATGAGTACCTAACTTCGGTTAGGGACGTCCCTCGGATAGGACTTTAAATGGAGGCCCCGTGTTTGGGGAGAGCCACACCCCACGCACGTTAACTTAAAGATCCCACCACACCTTTCGAAAAAGAGTAGGGGCATGCCCCGGTGTGCGATGGTCCAAATACTTATCTGATTATTCACTACGGACTCCAGGAAGAGTAGTGTGAAATTCACACTAATGGAGATCCTTAACAAACAAACAAACAAACAAACAAACAAACAAACAAACTACCTATAGTCCAGGAGGATAAACATGAAAACACTCGTGTCGTAGTACACCCCTTACATACTTTGGCCGGTACCATATACGATACATGAACAAGTAGTCATAGGCGACAATTCTCCGTGAAGTTTTATATTTTGCAGATTGATAACAGTAATAGTGTATGTAAACAGTGTGTGATCACTTAACAACTGGTAACAACGTATCATAAAAATGGCTAAAATAAAATCTCTGTTGTTAAAAAGGGATATAGTAATAAAAGTTTTTAAGCTCCCTCAAACCAAAGTATAGTTTTTTTATGTATCAGTATGCAATATATTTGTAATTTTTACTTCTAAAAGACCATGATTGCAATTGTGTACCGTTTTCGCTAGGATGCTTTGAACATTAAGCTTTTATGACGA